TGAGACTAGAGCCGTTGCTTTTCTTCGGTTGGTACAAAGGCTCTGCGCTCTGTTGCAGGTGAAACACGTTACCTGCTTGTCCAGGTAGTGCAGCACGGACACAGGTGTGCAACAGACGAGGAAGGCGACGAAGATGACGGCTATGGTGCGCGCGATGCGAATGTCACGTGATCGCAGCCCCACAGCAGGACGCCTTAAGAAAAGAGGAAGAGTCAAGACACTGCTCCTCTCCGCCAAGGGAGAATGAATGCGACAGCCATTGAACAGAGAGATGGTTGCAAAGCGGAAATGAACTTTCTCTAAACTCCAGAAATGTGATCAACTCACTGCGCGGTCGTATTGGCTGCGCTCTGTGAATTGGCCTGGGTGATCGCCTTCATCTTGATGGAACTCATCCGCGCCTTTGGGAAATACATGCATACATATGAGGAAGATAGATATAGAGTACTTTCAATGATAGTAAACATTACATTTTCGTATTCATGATTATTTTGTTCCTTATCTCTACTTGTCAAGCATCCGCAGCTAAATTTTGGAACACGACAGCCATTTCCGATGCCCAGTCCCTTTGCCCTTCTTTCCGCCCTCACCTTGTAGAATATAAGCGCGTAGGAGACCACAATGACGCCGCAGGGGAGGAAGTATCCGGCAAACATCATCACATTGCGCGGACTCTGCCCAAGGGCGGTGTTGTCCACGAAATCGCACTCGTCTGTCGAGTCGTTGTAACCGAACTTCCCGTAGGCCTGGGGGGGGGAGGGAGAGAGGATTTGTCGTTTCATCTGGGTAGGGCGCGGCTTGCTTAGTTGCGGGAAATACCAAAAGGTACAAGGAAGAATTATCACAGTAAGCCCGCTACTTAGACTTACCAAGATGGACCAGTTAAGGTGGCCAAACTCCGGTTAAAAAATAACAATAACAGCGACTGAAGAAGAAGAACACAAAAGAGAACAAAAGCAAAAACAAAATATACCTCGAGGAGCGGGAACAGCAAGAGGACGATAGACAGGAGCCAGATGCAGAGGATGGTAACCGATGTGTTGGTCGACGTGAAGATCTTTGGGTAATTTTTAGGCATGGTAATTAGCACGCACCTGCGGGTCGGATAATAAAGTGGATTGCTGTAAGTTCATGCTTCCGGCACAAGTATATATATATAACACACAACAAACACCACACACACACACAGCACACACACACACACACACACACAACACAACATATATATATATATATATTATATATATATATATATATATATATATATATATATATATATATATATATATATATAATATATATATATATATATTATTATATTATTATTTATATTTATGGTATATTATTATATATAGTTTATTATTTATATATGTATATATGTATATATAATATTATATATATATATTATATATATATATTATTATATATATATATATATTGTTATTATATTATACAACACACATATATATATATATATACATATATATATTATTATATTTATTTATATTATATTAAATATATATATATATAATTATATATCTATATTATTAGTGTGTGATAGTTGATGTTAGTATGTATTAGTGTGTGTGTAGTATGTGTATTGTGAGTTTATTATTATTATATGTCATACACACACACATATTTATTATTTTATTAATTTACTTCTTTGTTTTCACACACACACACATACCACACACACACACACACACACACACACACATCACACTAATATGTATCATAGTTATAGTATTGTATATATTTGTTAGTATCTTTAATATGTATGTATTATATATTATTATTATTATATATGTATTATATTTGTATATATATATATTATAATATACTATTTATTATTTATTTTTTATTATATATATTTTATCATATAATAGCATATTATAGCATATATAGTATTTTATCATATATATCAATTAACAAATAATAATAAAAATTAATATATATATTTATTTTTTTATATATTATATTACTATTAGTTAGTTTATTTTTTATTAAAATATATACATATATATATTCCTTTCTATCTATTCTATCTATCTATTCTATTCTATTATATCTGTCTATCTATATCCTATTGATATATATATATATAGTTTTATTTATATATTATATATATTTATTTTTTTACATATGTATATTATTTTCCATATCTATATATTTTTTCAATTATATATATACAAAATATATATATTTGTATAGTGTTAATATATATATTTTAGTATTTATATAATTTTATATATTTATATATATTTTATATTATATGATATTTCTCAATCATCACACACTATCTATCAACCCACACACACATTCACACACACACACAGCACCACATACACACACTCACACATCACACACATTCTTCTTTTTTTCGCTTTTGTTTTCTCAGTTTGTTGTAGTTTGATGGTTCTTTTTTGTTTAGTTGTGTTTGTTTTTATGCGGTTGTCTGGTGCATTATGTTGGTTATTTCTTTTTTTTTTTTTTTGGATTTATTTGTCGTGGAGGATGTGTGTTTTCTTTGTTTTGTGTTGGGGCGATGGTGTTGAGACAATGGGGCGGGTTGTTGTGCTGGCCTGTGTTGGGTTGTCTAACACGCAACCAGGTTGGGTTGTTTTCGACCGTATCAGATACATACACCCACGCGCTCACAGTAAAACCTTATCACCATGGGGCTTTGCACAAACTAGTCACTACTCACACATAACACCGCGACAAACCACTAGCACAACACACACACAATTTTTGGATTTTTTGGTTCTATTGGGTTATTTCCACCACACAGACGTGTTATTCACTCTACTAAACACATCATATACTGTCATCACACAAACACACACACACAGCACACAACAACACATCACACACACACCAGTATCCACACGTTTTACGATCATTTTCTACACACACCCAACACACACACATACACACACACACACCACACACCCCATCACACTACATCAAACACACACACACACACACACACTACACTTATATTTTTGTGTGTGTGGTGGTGTGATTCGTCAGCGAGTCTACGCACATTGTGTATTAGTGTTGTGGTAGTGTTGATATGTTATAGTATATTCATTATATATCTATTATTATATTGTTTATAGTTACATAACTAATATAAATAAAACAATATATTATATTATATACTATAAATATATATATACTATATATTTTTTTTATTTATATATATAATATTATTATTTATGTGTTTATGTTATTGTATTAATTATATTATATATATTATCATATATATATATATATATTATAATATACTTAATATAAATATGTATATATATATATATATTGTAATATATTATTTTATTATATATATATATATATATATATTATATACATTCATATATATTATTATCTACAATATTATATATAGTGTTGATTTATCAGATTAGTATAATATTTATGTCTGATATTTTATTATATTTTTTATTTTATATTTATTTTGGTATGTATATATTTATATTTTTATACTGTATGTTATATATGTGATAGTAGTGTATTTATGTTATGTGTTTATCATATTATATTATACTATATAGTATATATATATATATACTATAGTGAGTTTTGTTTTATATTTTATAGTGAGTGTGTGTATAGCGTAGTTGTGCGTGTAGGAGTAGTGGATTTTATATATTGAGTATATATATAATATTGTGAGTGAGTTGTATTAGTGATGTATTACTTTGATTATATATATATATATATATATGAGAGTTATATATATATATAAGAATATGTGCACTTGATATACATTATGATTAGGTGAGCGGGGTGGAGAGTTAGTGAGTATATATATTGTTTTATCTTGGGTAGTATTGGTGTTTATTTTTTTTGTTTTTTTTATATTTTGTGTATAATTTGATAATTATTTTTTATGCGAGTTTATATTACTTTGCTACTCTTATTATAGTTATTATTAGGTGATATTTTTTTATATTATATATAATTTTGTGTATTTTGTGGTTTATTTGGTTTATTATTGTTTATATTTATTTTGTAGTATATATATACTTTTTTTTTTTTTTTTTTAATTTATGGCATACATATATATATATTATTTTTGTGAGGTATTATTTGTTATTAGTACGTGTTTATGTTATTATGCTCTTTTTGTGTATGGTATTTTTTTTTATCTATATATATATAATAGATATAAGGTTATGTTTATGTGAGAATAGGTAGGCTTCTTACGTATTGTGTGTTTATATCTATCTCTCATATTTATTTATAGTTTTCATTATTTATAATTTTATATTATTTATTTTGGTATATACATGTTTATCTTTAGTGACGCGTATCTTTATTATCTCTATACACTATACGCGTTGTCTTTTTTTGTCTTTTTGATTATTTATTCATTATATATATGTATTGTATGGATAGCTTATCATTATGTTTATAGTGTAGTCTTTTATTACTTTTTTTTATGTTTAGTATTGATGTTATATATAGTGAGTTTATAGTTTATGTGTTTTGAGTATAGTGTTGATTATAGTCCTAGTACTTTGGTATATATATAGTATTATCTTGAGGGTTTTAGTTGAGTGAGTGATATTGTATTGAGGTTTATATCTATATATTTTTTGAGTTGGAGTATATGATATAGTGTACCGTGTTTAGTTTGTATTTTTTTTGTGAGAATAGTATAAATGCTATATTCGTGTGTCACATCACACACACTCACGAGAGACACCACACTAGCAGTATAGTTGCACACACACACATCACACAGTGAGGTTAGCTGTTGTGTGGTGTTGGCGTGTCCTCACACACCACACACACACACACCACACATCATATATGATATATCTATATATATATATATATATATACTATCTTAGTTTTTCTTTATATGTTATATTTATGTTATTTATATCACTAGTATGTCATCTATGAGTCAGTATTGCTATCATATATACGTTATGTATAGTGGTGTATGTTTCTTAGTACTATGAATATTGTTGTATTGTAGGTTATATGTATTTCGTTTTATCTGTACTATAATAGTATTTTTTTTTTACTTATTAATAAACGCGTAGGTTGAATTTCAAATGAAATAATAACTTAATAAAATTTTATTTATGACCTGGTAATTATTATATGCTATGTGATTAGTTATATATCACACTGGTGACAACACACACAGACATACACACACTCACACGCACACACCCACACTATCATCCACATGTTTTTTTATGCGTCGGCATTTTCTCGACAGCCATTCTCACTAGCGACACACACATCACTATTGCATGATAGTATGTATATATATATAGTATAGTGTTGAGATATATGATTATTTTATGGCCTGTGTGTTTTTACATAGTATAAGAGAATTGTTATCACTGAATGTATATCTTTGTTTTTGTCAGTCGTGTTTGGCTGTTTTTTTTCCTGGTTTTTGTTCGTTCTTGTGTGCTTTTTATTATATTATATATATTATTAGTATATATAATATATTATGTATAATCTATATATTTTACCTATCTTGTTGCTTGTATTACTGTATGTGATCTATATCTATATTAGTTTGCTATCTATTCTATCTATTGTAGTCTATTCTAATCTTAGCTTTTCTATATCTATAAGTCTCTCTATCTATCTATCTTATCTATTACTATCTATTATATTAATTTATTTTATTTTAGTATATTATTTTATATTATTTATTATAGTTACCTTATATTTTTTTATTACTCTATATCTACATCATACTATTCGATATTGTATTTACTATAGCGGGTGGTTATTGTACTATTAGTTAATTTATGATGGTCGGTGGGGTTTGGGTAGTATGGTATATAGTTACTATTATGTATTGGTGTAGTGACTTTATATTATTGTCTTTGTGATATAGTAGCGTAGTGTGCCTAGGGTTTAGTATGGTCATATATTAATGTTGTATATAAATATAGGTGAGTGTTCTATATATCGTCGTGTCTGTCTGTCCTGTCTCTCTCTTCGTCGTCTCATGCTCTCTTGTCTCTCTTCTTCGTCGGTCTCTCTCATCGTCTAACTCTCTTTTCTCTCTCTCGTTCTCTTGTCTTTTTTT